CCTTGTGATTTGTCCCTAAAACGGCTCGTTCTAGCACGCCCCCACATATCTAGGTCACTATGTGGGAATATTTGCGTAATGCCGCCCAAATGTGCACGCAAAGAAAGAAGGCGTGGTTTTAGTAACCGCAGTTAGTGTTGAAGCAGCATGTCGGGGAGACGCTGTGTGTTTCTAGGCGAAAGCAAAAGCACTTTATTTGGCCTTCCGAACGTAGATGCATTTAGGAATCTTTAAGATTACTTACAACAGAACAGCAATGCATTTTATGGATGACCGTTTTGTGAACCTAGGAGAGGAGGCAATTTTGACTTTGCTATGACAATCTGGCGCTTCTGAATCAGCGACTGTAGGTATGTTTTGTTATTAGTTTAAGTATTTGCTATTGACTGTTCAAATGCGGCGTTTTGCGCAGCGCAGAGTAACGCGTCGTGTGTGTGTGTGTGTGTGTGTGTGAGGGGAACAGGGTCACGTCACAGGAGAGTGAACTACCTGTCAGAAATCATAGCACTTCAGCTGTCTTAAACGCGGCTTGTGTACTGCATCACTGTGTCTGTCACGCGACTCTGTTGCCCTTTCGGGCTTGAACTGATGGTAAAACTAACTTTACGTCTTGATATTTACTTTGAAAGCTGAAGCTCGGCGATTATGGTAAGGGGCGTTACATTGGCGTACTTGTGGTGTTCGGCCAATCACAATGCACTGGGTCAGCTGGCCAATCAGAGCAGACTGCGCTTGTCAAAGGAGGGGGCTTTGTTGAAAACGACGCGTTTGAGAGAGGCGGGGCATAGGGGACCTACAATAATGTAAAGTAGAATACAGTTGTCAGTCCTGTATTTGAGTCCTTAATACGGTTACGTTCACACACAGTATGTTTATTTACGGGTGTGACAACCGCATTCTATAAACGAACTCACACCCGTAAATTTTCAGGATTCACAACCGCATTCTCAGATGATCAAATAGTCCCACCTTCTAAATGAAAGAGCCAATCGCTGATTGATAAAGTCACTGACAAATCGCTGATTGTGTCACTGCAGCAGCCGTTAGAAGCTCCGGTTCCCATAGAAACCTGAGGCTAGGGCTGCGTTCAGCCCAGACAAAACAGTGCAAAACGTTTCTTAAACGGAAACGGTGGTGCGTTGAACACCCTGTTCTGATGACGCAAGAGCTGCAACTATGGCAGCTGAGAAGGCCATTCTTTGTGTTCTTTTTGAAGAATTTTCGGAGCCTGATGAAATCGGTATAAATACGTGTTTTACTGCAAAATACACTCAGTGTTACAGTCACTGCCCTTGCCGTCCAGAAATAAAAGAGAACATCCCAATCGATTGAAGGGATTTGTGCAAACTGTGGTTCCTAATTATTGTGATCCAACATTTGCCTCGCATTTCAGGTGAAGGATAATCCACTTTTTACCTCCGAGACTGTGTTATGATCTATATGACCTTATTATTTTTATTGTGAGTATTAGGCTTATCATTATTGCTGATCACTGTTGTTGTGCTGTTATTGTCATATTTACCATTATATAATCAGAGGAATATAAGTTTTTGAAAGTGTCACTCCACAATACAATAGCAAAATATATAAATATGTATAGTATTTTTATGTTACATTAATCAGTGTCTAGCACACCTTCCTGAGGAAAGGATGGACCAGACGACATTGCAAACATGCTTGTTTGTCTGAGTGGTCGCTGGCGTGCGGCGAATAGCGAAAAGTGTACGGAACATGGTTAGTCTACGTTACTAAATGATATTTAGACAGACTTAAAGAAGTTCCAGATCTATACTTGTGCTCTTATTATTTCAGTTATT